CGGGAGCTGCGCCGCGTTGCTGCGGGCGCCCGCGGCCCGCACGGCTTTGCGGGCCCACAGCAGCCTCGCCTCGCTCTGCCTCCATGAATACAGAGATATGCACCACATACGAGCAGTTATTTTGTATAGACCTTGAGAAAGGCTTGCCAGCAAAGTGCCAAAAAACATGCAGAAACTAAAACAAATCTTTCCCCCAAAGATTGCCGTGGCTGTTGTTAGGCGGTGGAGGGCGGGTAGCCCTGACCTCTTGGCTGGCTGAACTCCAAACACAAAGTGAGGCCCCAACCCATTTGCAACCTGTCAGGCCTTAGGTCTCTTGGGGGCACCAGAGAGAGAGGTGACAATCTTCAGGGAACCAGTGGTAAACAGAAAAGTAAACGTGCTTTCCTTCATTCTCTTCATGTGGGAACTACTGAATGAAGGATTGTTAGAAGATGACGTAGCCTTTTTAAGTTTTGTGATCTTAATGAGAAGCTCCCAAATAAGATACATACGTATATGCTTATCCGCCTAAGTTTGTAATCCCAAGGCAAAGGAAACTTAACTTTAGTAGTCCATAGCTTGTTGCTCTGCAGCCATACACTGTGCTCATGCGGTTTCATCTTTTAGGAATCTAAGAAGGAATTATGCAGTTCACTGAATGGACTGCATCTGTGAGCTTTGCTTTCGTCTTAGATCTAGTCATTTTCATATCGGGATTCCCATTAACTATATTGTCTTTTCCCCAAGATCAAATACTATCATCTTAATTGAAAACAAATAAAATACAGTTTTAGAGCCGTACTGACATTATTTTACACCGCTACTATTGCAGTTTGAGGGACTCGATTTTTCTTTTTTTTAACTGTATGAAGAGCCTTTTGTTGTTTCCCTTAATTTTTTACAAGAGGTTTATGTTAATGGACTTTTGGCAAGTATCAGTTTACTCCCTGACCTCTGAGTACAGACTTTTTCGTTATAAACACACCCCTTAAGGATGGATCTACTCTACAGAATAGTTTCTATAGTCCTCAGTTGGTCCTTCTGATTTTGTGAATTTGTTACAAGTTTATCTTTCCATTTAATTTAAACTAGGTTCTTATGATCCCAGCTGAGATTGTAACTCATTGACTGGCAGTTTCATAGTGCCATGAATATGTACTGAAACCAAACCCTAAACTCTATCACTGTTCTGATACTGCTCACTGGTTCCTTGCCATGTCTGGAATCTGCCTTTAGCAGTAGAATGTTTCTGATATTTTGGGTGAACTGCATGAGAAAAACTGCATAGTATCTATCTCGCAACAATAGAGATCTCCTTTTGCAGTCAAATCTGACCTGCACCACTGTACTGGTTCACTAGAAAGTTTCTTGCACCTTCTTAGAAGAGCTGCTGTATTTGAACCAACCACTGGACTCATTTTCTCCTCCACACAAAGATACAGAAAGGCTGGCCAATTTGGAGATATAAGGCAGCAATAACAAAGAAACTTTAGGAATACTTTCTTTAACAGAAATTTGGGGTTTATGTTTCATGAACCTCTTTCTCCACTGTAGAGTATTTTTAATATAGTTGATGTCCTTCAGTTCACTTCTGGAAGAGACAGCATTAACATTTGAGTACCACATGCTTATTACTGAACATGATTCTAAAAAGCAGAACTCCTGCCCTGAAAAGAAATAATAACTGTTGGACAAAAAATATTGTGGCATAAGAAGTCACTTGATTGTTAGCCCTAATTAAGTGTGTTTATGGCATAATTTTATGAGATTTGATTTGAAAACAATGATATTGAATATAAAGGATGCCATTGTGTAAATAAAAATACAGTAGATGATGCCTTCATCCCTTTGAAATCTAGTAGTAATACACATTTATCTGATCTTTTTTCATGGTGGATAAATATCATACCCTAGCTTCCTTAGTCAAACCCATCCGTATATTTCAGTTTGCATTTGTAAGATGGGAGATTAAGCACATTGCTTAGGAACAATCAATTAAAACTAGCAAGCACTTTTCAGCACTGTCATATACATTTCTTCTGTTTTTCTCAATGTTACCAATATGTAGCCTCAGATCTACTCCATGTGAAGGCGAGCAGACATTTCTTTTCTAGACAAAGATACTCTAAGAGTTACAAAAGTGTATTTTACACCTTTAATTCCTTTATCTTCTATACAGGAGAAGGAAACTTTGCCTTTGAGTAGTGTTTATCTCCAGAGAAGAGACAAAATATAGGTTAATTGCTGTATTCTTGCTTTATATTCAGCGAAAACTTTATTGAAATACATCTATACACTAGAAAAGGTAGTTATCTACAAAAGAAGTTACTGCCAGCGGATGTTCATCTTCTCTCTCTTACAGACATTAACATACATCCTCACTGTATAAGAGGGATATACTTTTCATTCACATTATGTACTTTTCCAATACAAGAAACTGAGGAAGGAGCCCAAGGAAACTTATGATTAGGGCAAAGCACATTTGAAGCTGCTGACAAATCATGGATCTGCCTATGAGTGCGAAGGTGGAAGAAAACCTGGGACTGACTAGACAACGAGAATGGGTTGAGAGTAGGGGTGAGAGCTAAGAGTATGAAGGAGAGTGAGACTGGGGGCAGGCTAGAGGTTGGGAAGAGAGACACAGACTACTAGAGAAGAGACTAGAGTGAAGAGTTTGGAGACTTACATTCCAAGAGGTTGAACCATCAGCCCCCAGGGCCTAGGATGGAACTGGTGCTTTGCAACCATGGCAGAGCATTCATCGCCTGCATCTGTTTGGTGCACAGAGGATGACAACTCACTACTCTTGCAAGGGCCATCATTTAATCCATGTGCAGGGGGGAATGTATTAATCATGCAAAGGTATTTATTAACACTGATATTTCTGTTCTTTGGCTGCTTAACTTTGCAAGCTTATTAATATTATTTTAACATGGAAACAGGAAGTTTTTCAAACTGAATTTAAAAAATAGTTTCTGGCCATGTAATCAAAGACGGTGGTATAATATGAGATCAGAGGAGACAGGGCTTACGTCACAGAGAGAGGTTTTATTAGTTCAGGGTCTCTGGAAAAGTGGTGTTATGAGAGGACTAAATGAAATTATGTGCCTTGCTGTGAAGGGGTTAATACTCAAAGCAAGCTATTCTTCCAGAGACTGAGCTCCAAATTCGCTGACCGATTGCTGAAAAATCTCTTGGTTTAAAGCTTCATTCTTGATCACGTCACTTTTATTGTCCCTGTAGATCAGAACTATCATGATAAATTGAAATCACAACGGTACGCTGGTCCCCACGAACCCTGCTCTAAGACTACCTACCTTGTCTAATTACAACAGGGAAATCAAGTGTCACACCTAGTTGAGCTAGTCTCTGCAACAAAAAAGAAAACAAAACAAAACAAACTACCACAAACTGAGTAACTCTTTGCCTGATTACATTAGCCTATTTAAACTATTCAGTGGAAAAACGTACAGGAATGTCGAAGGATATATATTAAAAACATTACAAAAAATCCTTCACCCTATTCAGCTTGATTTAAAGAGTCATCATTCTAAAACATTAAAACTAAAGCCAAATATGCTTTAAGCTGGGTGCCCAGCATATGCTTGCACACTTTTTGCACAGTTAAAACCTGAACTTTGTACGCCTGTACGGGAGCTTTCCCAGCAAATTCAATTAAAAAAAAAAAAAAAAGGATGTGTAGAAGTCTGAAACGTCTTTGGACGTAATCTTAGAATTACAGGACTTGTTTTAAAGCCTCAGTTTAGAAATTCTTCCTTTTAAACAACGTTCCTAGTATCAGCAGACGGCGGGAATAACATGCCACCCCTTGCCTTGCTATTTCGACTGAACCGAGGTCATCACGGAAACTTGCCACAGAGCAGACTCGGGCTCGCCGCAGCCGGACCCGAGAGCT